TGTGTGTGTGTGTGTGTGTGTGTGTGTGCATATATATGTATATGTATATATATCTTGATATTGATGTACCAAAAAAACTCCAAATCCAATGACTATATTCTGTACATATCATACAAATGTTCATACACTATAGTAAAAAAATGTTTAACTGTAGTTGTATAATGTTCTTGTTGTTGCTATGTGCTGTCAAGTCACTTGTGCCTCATAGTGACCCTATGTACAACATCTCTATTCTGTGCCAACCTTATTGTCTCTGACACACCTACCCCTAGGATCCCAGTCACTGAATCAATCCACCTCATTGATGGTCTTCCTATCTTGAGCTGTTTCTCTACTCTTCCAAGCATGATGACCCACTCCAAGGACTTGTCCCTTCTTGCAACATGCCCAAAGTATGCCAGATGAAGCTTCAGAATCCTTGCCTCTATAGAGCAGCCTGGTTTCAGCCTCTCAAGGCTGAATCTATTTGTTGTGGCATCAGGATTGGAGGAAGACTCATCAACAACCTATATCATGCAGATGACACAAAGCTGCTTGCTGAAATCAAGGAACACCTGAAGTGCTTACAGCAGATGATCAGGGACTGCAGCCTTATATATGAATTGAAGTTTAATATCAAGAGAACAAAGATTCTCACCACTGGGCCAATTGGCAGCATCATGGTAGATGGTGAAGAGAGTGAGATATTCAACTTTAGATATTCAACACTCTTGGTACCAGCAACCAGTAAATTAAAAGACATACTGTCATGGGAAAAATCTGCTGTCAGGGACCTCTCCAGAGTTTAATGTTCTAGTGCCTTTAAAAGAAATGTCTGCAAAACAACTATGAGATATTTCGCCCCAGTCAGAATAGCGAAATTTAACAGAACAGCAAGCAACAAATGCTGGTGAGGTTGTGGAGAAACTGGAACCCGTATTCATTGTTAGTGGAAGTGTAAAATGGTGCAACCACTGTGGAAGGCGCTATGGCGCTTTCTCAAAATGTTGCAAATAGATATACCATTTGACCAAGCAATTCCACTACTGGGAATATACCCCAAAGAGATCATGACTGACATCCAAGTAGATACATTTACACCCATGTTTATCGCGGCTTTGTTCACAATAGCAAGGAGTTGAAAACAACCCAGGTGCCCATCAACAAACGAATGGCTAGAGAAGCTGTAGTATATTCGCACAATGGAAAACTACAGTGCATTGAAAAACAAGGAACTCATGCAATATTATTCAAAATGGGGAGCCCTGAAGGACATTATGCTGAGTAAAATATCTCAGTCGCAAAAGGACAAATATTGCATGGTCCCACTGCTGTAAAATGGGACTGATATCAGGGTTGTGGTAAGACTGAGGAAAACTGGATAAATTGTGTATGCTGCACTGAAACAGATGAGGGAGAGAATAATTTAAAAGCGATGTATGATAGGGTATTATGGTTATCACAAGAGTCCACAATTAAGGTTGCATAGTGGAATGTACTTGGGGCAGTGGGAGAGGTGCAGGGGGATTGTGTACCAGGGAGAGATTGTTTATTTTACTTTTCAAAGAGAGGAGAAAACTGGGGTGGGGAGGAGGACTGGGCGAGTAGAGAAGTGCAGCAATGAATGAATGGAAACCCAACATCTCTGTAAACGTTTATTAAAATTATTAATTTTATTTTTTAAAAGGAATGTCTAGTTGCCTAGTCTGTAGGATGTTGTGCTACTAAACAAAAGGCTCCATCTCTGTTGTTCAAATTCACCAGCCTCTTGGAAGGAGAAAGATGAATAATCTGGTGTTGCAAATTACAACTTCAGTCACTCAATGGAGGGTTGCTTGGAGTTGAAATCAATTTGACATTTATGAACTATTTTGTATCATCATTAAATAAATGTTTTTAAAGCCTGCATCTTACTTTTACTTCTAAAGTTATTTCTTAATTTTAATTGCCTAGCTATTAAAGAGTTGCATTGTCAGTACAAAGGCCTGTAGTTCGAATCCACCAGCAGCTCTGGGAGAGAAAAATGGGCACTGTTCTCCTTTGCCATTTACAACCTCTGAAAATCCACTAGGGGGTCATCTACGAATAGGTTCTGATTTCAAGGCATGTGGCAACAAAAATATAGGGTTAAGTATAAATCATACTAATATCAGTATTATTAAAATTGTTACATACCTGTTAGGGATTTTGTGGTCAGAGAAGAATTATTATGTTCCACTTGTTTTGCTTTAGCTAGAAGACAATATAGTATAGAAAATGTTAAAAAAAAAGATTTGTTGGGGGGACATATTAATCACAATATTTCAATTTCCTAATTTAGTATTTAGTATGTTTAGTCTTAGAATGTTATAGAATAAAATGACATTGCCTGAAACAGTTAATGAACACATAAAGTCTTTGAAAAATAATTTAGTTCCTTTAAAGTAATTCCTACACATGCAGGTAATATGTAGTCTTTTCAAAAAAGTAAACTTATCATTTCTTATGTATTTTACTTTACCATTAAAAAAATTATTTCCAGTGCTCAATTTCTTTCCTATTTTCTAAAATAAGTTTTGGAAAAAAGTCAGTGAGAAAACAAAACAAAAACAGAGAGAGCCCTTGTGGTGTATAAGGTATTATGCTGCTAGATGCTAGTGGTCATTGAAAGACTCTGTTTCAGTCTCTTTCCATTATTAGCATTTATACTTTCAACAAATTCCGAATCACTTTTCCATATTGACTAAAGATGCATACATTAAAGTGGAAATTATATTCTCTAATATGGGCAATCTCCTTCCATATGACTCTGAAAACCCACTAGACCATCAGCTATGAATTGGTTTTGACTCAATAGCAATGCCAGACAGAAAGAGAAAGATAAACGGAGAGAGAGGAAATTATTACATATTTGGAGGTACTTATAAATAATTTTTAAAAATGTTATTTTTTAACAACTTACAGCGATTAATAACTGTAACTCCCACAGTTATCACACTAGCCATCAAGACAAGACAGATGATTCCGAGAATTCCAGAAAGAAGCCTCCCTGCATGTGATGGAAAATCTGTAAGAAGAAATTAAAGAACTGACACACAGAACGTACAGAAAATTATTTGAAAAATTTATTTAAAAGAGAAAATACACTCACAAAAAGCCATATACATAAATAGTGGAAATTAACTAACTTCCACACTTGTAATTGCTTGTTGTGTGGCATCAAGTTGCTTGAGACTCATAGCGACCTATGTACAACAGCTCTGAACCCTGCGCTCTCTTGAGTCAATTTCATTGTCTCTGACACATCTGCTCTCTTTACCCCAGTCAACCAGTGAGTTAGTTCTTCTATAATTTGTGAGGTGACATCTTGGAATCCTAACTGGAATGTGTCAATCCATTTCATCCAGGGTTTTCCTCTATTGGGCTATCCCTCCACTCATCCAAGAGTGATGCCCCTTTCTGAGGACTGGTCCCTTCTGACAACATGCCCAATATATGTCAGATGGAGCTTCATAATCTTACCTTCCAAAGAGCAGCATGGTTTCACCCTCTCTAGGAAAGACTGATTTGTTCTCTTACATTCTATACTCTTCTCCAGAACCACAGCTGAAAGGCACAAATTCTTCTTCTATCATCTTTAGTCATTGTCTATCTCTACGATGCTATGTAAATTAATGGAAAACTGTAAAAGCCCACATATCTGAAGAAAATTAGTGTTTAAATTCCATACTGAAATACTATATGCTCAGTTTGAATTCTGATCTTAAAAATATGGAACTATATTAGCCTATTCCCTAAGTCTGATTATCCTTACTCCATATGTAAATTTTTCTTCTTTCTCACAAATCTGCACTCCAACAGCACACATCCTAGAGAAGATATCTTGAACAACTAGTAAATGCTTACCTTTGTTGTGGAATTTCTTGTTGTTTGCATGGAAACTCTGAGGAGCATTATGAAGGTTTAATTCCACATAGGTTATTTCCTTCTCATTATTTGAAATCAGGCTAGATTTGCTCTTAGGCTTGAGTTTCTGCTTTGGATATTTGGCCAAGTTGATTTCTGCATATGTTACTCTTTGATTGCTCATCTCTGCAACTGGGTGGTGCCAGGAACTGTGTTTTAGGGTAATTGGGTTAAGAAGCCAAATTGTGGTTCACATGATGACTGGATGCCTAATGCTCACAAACTAAGTTGTAGAGGGTGGGATTAAATGTGGTGGATTGGTAATAATTTTTCAGTTGAGGAGTCTAAACTCTGATCTGGATTTCCTTCAGGCTTGACAAGTGGAAGTTAATGTTCTTCCCACAAGGTAGCCTTGATTTGATTAAACCTATTTGTTGAATTAATGGGAAGCAACAAATTACTGAGGAAAAAAGATTCATAAATTAAAATGTTCCTAATTCTTTAAAGTCATATATCTTTAAAACATGTTTTAAACATTATAAAATTTAAAATTGCATATTTTAAAATAATAGCATATCAGTTTTCATAAGAATTTGATTCTAAAGTTACTGCTATATGTTGCTTTGACTTAGATATACATATATTTACTTAAAGGAAGTGAAGTATTGTTTTGAGGTTTGTTTCCTTATTAATAAATTAGTAGAGATTCCTACAGAATCACTAAGACATTAAGGACATTTTTTACATGAATATTGAAAGTGACACACACATATATATAAAACAAACACTTTTTAGGGATTTACTTTACAGAACTAATTTTCCATTGGTTAATGGGCAAAAATAGTACTAAAAATTGAACAACAAAAATGTAGATGAAGTGACATATAATAATGAGAAATAGTGAACAATTTATGAAACATTACACAACAAGAATGAATCAAAAGGACTTACTAAGTGAATCAGTCACAACAGGATGCATAAAATATTGTATAAGATAGGTGTAATAAAAAGTTATAGAAAGACTTACATAACAATCAGAATCTTTATAGTATGATTACCAGGAACAGGAAAGAGAGGGTTACAAAAGTAGTAAATCACAAGGGAGGAGATTGCCCATCCTTGTTTCACAGAACAGCTGGTAGATTCTAACCACAAGTCTTTGGGATTGCAGCACAGCTTCTTACCACTAAGCCACCAGAGCTCCCAAATAGACAATAAAGACTTGTTAAGAAGAGTGAAGGAATTCTGGTGATTGATATTTCTAGGAAGATAGCTATGATTTTCAAAGCATATGATAGTTGTTTAAACGGAATAATTTAACAGTAGTAACTAAAAATCATATCAATTAATTCACTTAATAGGCTCCAGAATAAGTGAGATCTAGAATGAAATTTCAATTTTTAAACTAAAATATTTTATCTTTAGAAACTTGGCTAGCTTTCTAAACAAGTAAGTGCCACAAATATTTTTTTAAATGGATGTTATGCATTCAACCTCACATGGCTGAGTTCTTAGTATATGTCCATGTTTTTAATTTTAATTATTATCCTAGCCACAAATGTCATATAATTTCTGATCCTTATCAGTTAGAAATTGCAAAATAACGGCTTAGAATTCTCATTCATATGTGTGTGTGTGTGTGTGTGTGTGTGTTGTATCATATATAAGACTTTATATCTTATATTGTTTTTTAAAGATTATCTTAAATATTACAAAACTTATTGTAAATTAGTATTAAATTTAAATTAAAATCATTTTATGAAACTTATCCTAGTTTTCATAAAAGTAAAATTGAGTTAATTTAATCTAAGTGGATGAGAAATTATGTTTGAAATTTGCATCTTTCAATTAATTTCTCTTCTAAAATCCAACTCCAAAGACTGGGCTTAGTATACAATAATATTTTATTATTCAAAGAGACTAATTTCATCAATTAAAAACAAACTAATTGTTTATTGTCATTGCTTATGGGAGTCTACTAATTCTATTAATTTTCCAGCAATAATAATCTCACTTATATAAATATCCTTGAAAATATTTTATAGATGATATTTGCTTTCTTCTGTTTGTAATAGTCTATGGTGGTTTTATTGCCTATTAGTAATATCTTAATATATCTCGCACAGCATTTATAATCTCACACTGAATGAGGTGAATTAGAGAACAGAGAGGGGAGCAGTGGCACATACCTTCTGCTGGTATTCCTTTAGTGGGGTGGCCTGGCTAGAGGGACCTGCTAGAGTCGCATAAAAGGAGAAATCTAAAGACAATAATCCAAGAACACAGAGTACAAGTATCTGTGCTCTTTACAGAAAGTCCTGTGAGACAAGAGTGGAAAAAGTAAATGGCTCATCAATGTGTTTCTTAATGTTTGAACAGGAAATCCTCAAACTTGAGCTATTTTGAAGTCAGTTTATGTCATCATACACCTTCAGAACATGAGATATGTTGAGCTCTTATTGAAAGGACAGCTTTAAACAGGGCACATAGATTTTTCTTTTTTCAAATGCCTTTGAGAAATTGTTCCAGTATTATACAAGGTTTGAAGGATAAAGAACTTGCACAGTCATATAACTAAATGCTACCATCTCATTGTTATTGTTGTTGTTATTTGCTGTCACCAAGTAGCCTGCGACTCACAGCGACCTTATGTATAATTGATACGAACCCTGCCTTGTCCTGAGCTAATCTCACTGTATAGAACACTTGTGTACCCCCATTATCCCAGTTACTGTGTCAATAAAATTCCTACAGGGTCTTCGTCTCCTGCACTGTCCCTCCACCTTTCTAAACATGAGGTTCTATTAAAGGACTAGTGGCTCTTGACACATGCCAACATGCCTAAAGTATGGGAGATGGAGCTTCAAAATTCTTGCCTCCAAGAAAACTTGGGTTTACCCTGTCCACGAAAGACCTATTTGTTCTCTTGGCAGTCCATGGTATGTTCAAGACTCTTCTCCAGCTCCACAACTCAAAGGCATTAATTCTTCTGGCATCCTTAGTCATTATTCAGTTCTCTGATTGATAGCAAGTAATTATGAAGACCATAGTCTAGATCAGGTGCACCTTACTCTCTATACTAACATCCTTGCTTTTTAGGACTCTGTAGAGGTCCCTGACAACAGATTTTCCTAATGCAATTAACCTTTTCATTTCATGGCTACTAGTATAAAGAGTGTTAATTGTGGAACCAAGCAAGCTGAAATAGTTAACAGTTTCAATCTTCTCCATCTATCATGGTGCTACCAATTGGCCCAGTGGAGAGAATCATTGTTTTCTTAATGTCGAGCTTCAATCTATATTGAAGACTACAGTCTTTGTCTTTCTGCCTCAAACTCCTCAGGTTCTTCTAAGTTTCAGCAAGTAAGGTTTTGTAATCTGCATAATGCAGGTTGTCCATGAGTCTTCCTACAATCTTTTTTGTTTTTTCATTTTCTACTGGTTTACTTACAAAATTCAAATACATTGTTTTCAAGAACAAATTCTTTCAATTTCCCCCCCCTCTGTCAAATTGTACAACCACGTGATTTATCCTTTCCCTCCCTGGCATATCCTCATCCCTCTGCTTCCACCTTCTCCTGCCCCTCTTGGATCTCATTCTACAATAATGGTTTTACACAATATTAATCCTTGTGGGACTGAGTTAGTTCACTCAGCATAATCCTCTCTAGTCCCTCACAAGTTAGGTAATAATTTATCTTCCTACAGTCTTGATGCCATGTTTCTTCTCATAAAGTCCAGCCTCCCAAATGATCTATTCCAAACATAAACTGAAAAAGTTTAGAGATAAAATATATCCTCGACACACTCCTTTCCTGATTTTGAACTATGCAGTGTTTCCTTGCTCTAACAACTTCTCCATGGTTCAGCTATTGTTTTCACATGAACATGATCATTGTTCTGGGATTCCTTTTCTTCTCAAGGTTAGAAACAATTTGTTGTTGCTATAAAATCCTAAATTTAACTTTTTTAAATTTAACTTTTATAAACATTGTAAAAAATCTTTAGATTATAAATCATGATTTTGGTTTTTTTAAGGTGTCTAAAAGAAGTATGAATGTCCTTAGCTATTTGATGGATCCAAGGAATTAAATTCAAAATTTACAATCATGTTAAATGTAACTGCATTGAAAGATTAAATATCTATGGAAAAGTATAAAGCAAAGAGATAGAATCATCATTTTAAGCTTAAAAATAATACCCATTTCCCACCTGCTTTGCCTTCTGTATTCAATTTTCAGGCTAATTGGTAATTTTTTTCACAGGTGGTTTGGCTGCATGTATTGTTGTTATTGTTGTTGTTGTTGTTATGTGTCGTCAAGTCACTTGAGACTCATAGCGTCCCTATGTACAACAGCCCTAAACTCTGTTCTGTCCTGTGCCAATCTCACTGTCTCCGACACACTCATCCTGAATACCCCAGTAATCTAATCAATCCATTTCCTAGAGGGCCTTCCCCTCCTGTGCTGTCCCTCCACCCTCCCAATCATGATGTTCTTCTCCAAGGACCGGTCTCTCCTTACAACATGACCAAAGTATGTCAGACAAAGTCTCAGAATCCTTGCCTCCAAGGAGCAGCCCAGATTAACACTATCCAGGATGAATCTGTTTTCTTAGCAGTCCATGGTACCCTCAATACTCTTCTCCAACACCAAAGCTCAAAGGCCTCAATTCTCCTTCTAACCTCCTTAGTCATTGTCCAACTCTCTGACACATAACAAGTGTTTGCAAAGACCATGGCCTGTATCAGGCATGCCTTAGTCTCCAGAGAGACATCGTTGCTCTTCAGTACTTTGGAGAGGTCCCTAACAGCAGACTTTCCCATGGCAATTCGTCTTTTAATTTCCTGGCTGCTGGTGCCAAGAGTGTTGACTTTGGAGCCAAGCAGATTAAAGCTGTGAACAATCTCAATCTCTTCACCATCAATCCTGATACTGCCAATTGGTCCAGTGGTGAGAATCTTTGTCTTCTTGACATTGAGGCTCAATCCATATTGAGACTGTAGTCCTTGACCCTTTGCAGCAAGTGCTTCACGTTCTCCTAAGTTTCAGCAAGCAGGGTTGTGCCATCTGCATAATGCAGATTGTTGATAGATCTTCCACCAATCCTGATGCCACATTTCTCTTCATAGAAACCAGCCTCCCAGATGATCTGTTCTGCATACAGGTTGAAAAGTTATGGAGA